CTTTAATCTTTATAGTATACACACCCACACGCACACGCACACGCACACACACACACACACACACACACAAAGCACACCTTTAAATGTTGGTCGTTGCTGTGGATCGTGATCCCAACACCTCTTCATCATCTGAACTATCTCTGCAGGAATGTCGTCTGGGATAAGGTCCTCTGCCGGCCGGTCACCGTTTCGGACACACTGGCTCATTTGGTCTTCACTCCTGGCATCTGAAAATTAAAAAAAAGTTACTTACTTTGGTTGTCTTCACGCAGATAGTCATTTTAAAACAGTAATGTTTAATTATTCATATATTAAATGGGTCTTGCTGACATCCCAACTCACTTGCATATGGCTCTTCACCAGTGAGGATGACCCAAACCACAATTGCGAAGCTGTAGACATCGGACTTCTCAGTGGAGGCTGTATGTACACTCTCCAGGTGCTCAGGGGCCATGTAGCTCAGTGTGCCAGCGGCTCTCGCCCCAGCTGATCGCCCCATTCGACTCTTCCTGCGAGACTCCTCCTTTGTGAGTTTGCTCCATGTCTGGCAGGTGGCCAGGCCAAGGTCTGCAATCTAGAAAACACAGAGGAAAAAATACCTAAATGACCAAGATTATCCATGCATGCTTTCAAAATCATAAATGTGCCAGGGGCCATCGTGTGTAATATACCTTGATGTGAAAATCCTTGTCCACTAAAATGTTTTCTGGCTTGATGTCCTTGTGTATAACGTGTTTCTCGGTGAGGTACACCATCGCTTCCAAAATCTCTAAAATGATTCTGCCTTTGATGGATATTGGCACAGAGACCTAGCAACAGGCAGGAAAAAAATAACATAATACGAGTTATTTAAGGCTGCAAACTACTGATAACAATTAGTGGAACTACTGAAGTTATAGACATTAATTCTGAAACTTTTTAACGTGACCACAGACATTAAATCTGCTGACCGTCTCGAGCATGACCAACAAGTTGCCTCTGGGGATGAGTTCCATGACCAGCGAGCAATCTCTGTCCTCCATGATCACGCCCAGCAACTTGACCACCCGTTCATGGTTCAGGCTTGCCATGATGTTCCCTTCCTCCAGCAGTGACCTTTTACTCTCCCTGGAAAGTGCAGTAAAAACAGTGAGAGCCAGATATACATACAAGTGGCATAACTTGCATCTTGTCTAGTCTCATAGTGGCACAGGATGTACAGAGGCACTGATACGATATGCTAGTACATAAAAATTATTCAAATTAGTTCCACACAGTGAAGTGCAGATTTTCACTGCATGCATCGATATACTAAAGATATCCTGAAGTATCAGTACCGGGAGAGGAAAAACTTGAATATGTGCATCTCTTGCATGACATATACGAAATCTCATGTTGAGGCTGCAAAAAAAAATTCGAGGAGAGTGACTGTAAATGTTTCACCATCAGAAAAGTTGTTGTTGTATCTGGTTTGAAAAACGGATGTTTGACCTACATCCGCATTTAAGATAAACTCGTGGCTTTTTCTAGTCTTTGCTATAAGGAAGTACTTCATCAATCAGTGCAAGTCTTTTCAAAGCACAGCCTGAGGATGGACACAATCTCTATATTGCCAAACTAACTCGGTTTTCACACTGGCAACATTCGTCCACCAATTTCCTATCATTTTACATAGTAAATGAACTTTCTATGTCCCGTCAGAAAGGGTAAATAAGATGAGTCTCACTGTTTGGAGAGTCTGTCTTTAGTGTACTGTCGAGCACATGACTCAAGTTACCATGTAAGAGACGACGGGGAATACCCTGCATGCTCCATACAGATACACCACTGATACACACAACTTACTCGTTACGAAGAGGGCCTGTATACATAGTCTTCAACACCACCTGGCCGAGGGTTACATGGTAACACAGGTACACCTCTCCAAATCCTCCGTAGTCCAGGGGCTCTTTCTTGATGAGATCAGTCGATCTCATATGGAGAGAAGGCTGTGGCGCGGTGGCCATAACGTTACCTGTTCATAAAAACACCATAAAAACACAAGAAGACAACAAACACAACATATCAGCGGGTGGGGGGGCGGAAAATGATAAAAGTGACTAAACACACGGATTATGTCAAACACAGCATATGTAAATAAGCTTGGGAGACAAACTGAATGACTGAAGCGGCGAGTCGACCATCTGTAACTTTCAAAACACTGAGGATGTTAAGCTAGCTTAACGCCTGACGTTTCCGAAAGTTTTCGGCAACAACACAAACTCAAGCCCTCATAACGTTTACCAAACACTTTACCCGAAAAAGCAGGGCAATACACACAATGTCGACAAATGCTGGATTAAAACGGTTACCAAAACGATGCTGTACAATCCAAGTAGGACACTTTTATTTGTAACGTAGTTCCGGGGTTTCCTCGACGTCCTCCGTTCAAAAGCGAAACCCAGCAGGCGGCGTAAAAAACTACAAACAGCCTCACAAGTCGATAACAGAGCAGGACGGCTGGGGACTTCAGGTGTTTGTGGCTGAAAGTGCCTAAAACATGTCCCATAACAAAACATGAACTCAGGATGTGATATTAAGTTGTTTCATTTCTAACTTTGTTCACACTTTGTTCAGACAAAGAATTCCTCTGACATAGGACCGCTGTAAATCTTGTCGTGTGGCATTGCCGCCACCTACTGGTGAAACTAATTATCGCAGACTGTGGACTGAACCTTGCTTTGCCCAGTAGTAGGACTGTATCTTTGCCCATTTGAGATTTTTAAATGGTGAAACTGAAATACTGTTCTAAGTGTCTGTTTACCTCTACACAGTTTTCAGCTGCTCCAATCACCATCTGCCATCTGAGAGACCAAATATTACAGTATTTACAGAATAAAGAAGCAAACTGTATTGACCTTAATAGGCCTATTTTGGAAGTACAACAAACCAGCCCAAAAGATGCCATAGCCTAATTTAAATAAACCAGAAAACAAGCAAAAAAACAAGTCCATTGATAAAACAAGCGTTTATGTGAAACTAGAGCGGGAAACCACCTGAATTGTAGCCTCTGACAGCGTGGGCGATGTATGACATGGAGGCCTACATTTTGGGCAGCCTATCTGTGAACACCCACACTATAAATTCCTCCTTTTGCACACTAAAGCCACAACAAAGCAGTATCATATTTACCTGTCTTGTATTGTCATGGTTTCCTGGTTTAAATTTTTTTCTGTTTCTCTATTATTCACGTTTGTTGCTGGTAATCTTCAGGTTATTTGGGAAACTTTCCAGATGTGGCAGTTTACAGTTTATTGAGCACTGTGACAGAATATTAAACAAACATATCAGTGAATAATATTTCCTCATTTCCACCCACAGTTGAAATTGTTTGATGAATAATCTGTGACCTAGATCAATTGGTCAGACTCATTTTAATATCAGTCAGCTTTGACAAGTTGCAGATACTTTGGCAAATTCAGTCCAACCAATTTTATTATTAACAGCACAAGTTATTTCAGGTATTCAACTATTATATGAGGCTATGGCTGGTTTAGACTAATGGAGGCAAGAATAAGATGAGCACTCTCACGGAGGAACAGTGCGGCGCAGACCTCCCATTCAAGCTGCAGTCTGGTGGTCACTGCCCCACATAGAACAACAACAGATCATCAGGAAGTTGAACCAACTGGCGCCTGCGGTGTAAACGTGCTGTCAATGTGGGGCAGTGGGTAGCAGTACTTCCTGTTGATGTTGTTAACATGATTATTATCAATACAGAACTGCCAGGTGGTGTCCTCTGCCTGTAACAGCACAGCTTCCCATGCTGTTAATTGCCTGCCCCAGTCATCTTACTGGTTTTCTGTTCAGCTGCCTGGCTCTTGGCTAGCAGGGATGTTTGGGACAGAGGTGGATAAATTGTAGCCCCCTCAGAGTTGATGGTGTCCTGCAATAGGCTGGTTTCAGTGTCCTTCTTGGTGGTAAAGTAGAAGCTCCCAGGGGACAGTCGCATCCAGGTGGTCATTTTCTTTGGTGGCACCATTGTCTGTTTCTTTCCCTGAGGTTTGACAGGCTTCTCAGTGGGGGTTGTCCTGAAGTCCCTTTCTGGTGTAGCCATGCTGACAACTGGCTCTTCCTCTGGTGTTTGGAATGTCCCTTAGGCATGGACGGCGTCTGGGCTACCCTTTCCGATGGTGTCATGTCACATATGATGCTCTGATGGTGGAGAGGGCGACCATCCAGGGTGCAGGGAAGGTAGAGGCCCTGTGTGTGGCTGATGTGACCTATCCTCCCCATCTCCTCACTGCCACTGGATTTCTCTGCTTCTGAGAACATCATGGTGTTGAAGGGGCGGTCCTTCCTTCCCTCATTCTGGCGTATGCATTGGCACAGGAAATTGGGACAAAGAGGCAACGTTGCTCTCAAAGATGGTTGGAAGCTTAAGTAAAATCACTCAAATGAGTTTGACTCTTCTTCTGGTGTGAAATTGGAGGTTAGTGTTCTGAGCCAGGAGGCAAAAGCCCATAATCTCTTCCTCTGGTGATGACTGGAAAACATGAATTCACCAACTTTATGTAGTGCCCATCTCTGAAAACCATCCTGCTTCTTGGTTTACAAACATGAAGTCCAAGGCAGTGGTGTCCAGGATGTAAAAATATGAATTGGTATATTTATGGAAACATTTTGAAAGTGAAAACTTCTACCCCTCATTTCTTTCACAATTATATCCCATCTCACTTCATGGTGGCCCATTGTATTCCTTTAATATTTCCACAGGGGCCTGGCTAATTTTGCTCTGGTATGTGTGGACGGTATGTTGTATTTTTAAAGTTTATTTTAGGGTTAAGTATTTGCTGTCATCGCGCTCGACGGGCAGGCTATTAATATTCTCATTTCTATCTATAAGGGGAAAAAAGGAAGAAAAAAATCAGGCTTGGGTTAAGAACCACACTTGTGTCCATACAAAACTTTCTCCATAAAAAAAATAAAAAATAAATAAATCCGCGCTTCTTCTTTTCAGCAAACTTCAATTCCCAGCATTCAACACGGGGAGCTTGGGCAGCAGCGCTCGGCTCGCTTGGACGCGGAGCTGCGGCATTTGCGCCCCTACCGCGGGTTTGGGAAGGCGTCAAGCCGCTGGATAAGCATTTTTAAACAACGAGGGAACACAGCGTGGCGTTTCTTTTCACCGCTATCTTTCAAACGGGGTCTTTCAGCATGGGTAATGGCATCAACAAGGTATGAGCCTCATCTGTGTGGAGACCAGTGTTGAGTTCAAACACGAGTGGTCCCCTGTGTTTTGAGTGGAATTAAGGAGATGATGATATAGTGATCGTCATCTTAGACAGTGGAGTATTTGAACAAAAGTTGTGTCTGCTTATTAGTTTAACAATGGTTCAGTATATATAGACAGGACAACTTTAGTGGTCTAACTATGAATATTTAACCTACTTTGACTTTTGGTCACTATGAATCATGGGTTGTAATTTGTAATTATCACATCATATTTTCAGGGTGTCATTTGAGTCAGCTGTTTCAAGTTCTCTCAGCTGCTATAACCCCTCAGTGTATCAATGATGATTTGACCATGCCTGCTTCAAACTTTTACATCTCTATCTCTTCCCTCATAGGTCCTGCCTGACCTGTACTTGGGAAATTTCAAAGGTGTGTCTAAGTGTAATTTTTTCTGTACTCATTTTGATTTGCTTCTTGTATATGACTTTCTGTGTGGTGTTATTTGTCTATGTCAGATGCCAGAGACCGGGAACAGTTAGCCAGAAACAACATCACACACATCCTGTCCATTCATGACAGCGCGGCTCCCATCCTCCAGGTGAGACGCTCTCCATCTTTTTATACATAACACCTTTGCCCTTAGTATGCATCTTGAATTTCTCATTAATCTTTAAGCAGAGTGAAGAAGCAAACAAGGATGAACAGATCTGATTGGCTGACGCTCCTCTTATTGGTGCACATGACTTTAGCTCTGACCCGGTCCGTGAACCAGTCTGTCCGGTTGTTCAGGAAGAAGTGCTGCTTTCTTGAGCAAATATCTATCTGTCCCAGGGTGAATAAACAATAAGCAGGGGGAGTTACTTACTCATGTGATTGTTGGAGTATCGTGAAAACAATGCCAGTCAACAACAGTTGGTTAGGTCAGTGTGCTGAGTTGTGTGCTTGTGTGGGTTTGAGAGTGGGCGGTTGTTCTTGCTTCAGCCAGTGTGGACTCTGCAGTCTTGCTTCATTATTATTTTTTCTAGGTTAGTGATGTTGGATGTAAAGTTTCTCTAGTAGCTGCAAGTGCAAAAGCAGCTTATGTTCTCAGTCATTTAAAAGAAAAGAAGGAGATTGCCTTTATTCCTCCACAAACTGTAGCACAGGCTTTTTTTCCTTTGCCATCACAACCTGAAAAGCCCCGATGTGCAGTGGTATTTATCACCTGCTGTTTATTGATTTGTGTTAAATGCATTAGAGCAAGTGACTGCTGACAGCTAACTAGTACACTTTGTCCCTCAGGAGATGACCTATCTCTGTATATCAGCAGCTGACCTTCCCACACAAAACCTGTAAGTACCAAAATGTGCAGCACAGAACAATGAACGGCTGAGGCAGAAAGAGAGAGTACCACATCCATTTGAGGCTGCGCTGTGTGGGCGTCTGAGGTTCATTTTCTTTCTTTTATAACGTGTAAATGATATGCTTTCACAAGCTCAACATTTAAATGTGAACTTATTTTCTGATTATATTTACAGTAGCACGGCTGGATTCAGCTCTTGGTGCACTGTTGTCCTCTTTCACATGACATGCACAAACATATGCAGGTGTTTTTAATGTAACATGAGACACTGGGGAAGAAAAAAGAAAAAATCAAAGGCATGTATCGCCAAGGGATACCCTGGTTTACACACACACACACACACACACACACACACAAATCTTCTATGGCCAAATTCACATTTCAGGCAGCCTTATAGCAGGAAGGAAGTCTCACAGCTCTGTTCTGCAGCTTTAGCACGATGGTTGGTGCTGTGCCTCTATTTATACGTACCCCCACTAACACCCCTCCACACACTTGCAAATGAATATGTACACACACACACACACAGACACACACAGACATATACACACTAATACCCCTGTCACTCTTACTGCCTGGATGCCTCATACCTCTTCGGTTCAGAGTGTGAGGTGTTTGAAACCTGTTTTGTGAAACATGACACCAACTCTCTCAAACCTGAGATAGACACACCCTCATCCTGATCTGTCCAGGATAAGAAATAAAAGGGGTTGACAAGTCAGGTGCAGAAACATACACGGCATGTACGAAAAAACCTAACATGAACACAGCCACTGGGCCTTTAGATGCATGCAGGAGCTGTAAGTGTCGGTGACAACAAAATAACAGCACGTAGTCGCAGTTCTTACAGCAGTTCTTGCTGTGTTTAATGTGGTCATGGCCTGTTGCAACAAACCATTTTTATGCTCCACAGGACTCAGCACTTTAAACAAAGCATAATGTTCATGCACGAGTCCCGCCTGAAAGGAGAAGGCTGCCTCGTTCACTGGTAAGAGCAAGACTGCTTGTTGTATCTTTACCTTAAAGCTAGAATCAAGTTGGCTAGTTAAGCAAAACAATCATAGACATGTTGAATATAAATGCGCAGTTCGTGAAGAACTGAAAGAAAAAAAAGAGAAACCAAAGATCAACCAAGTACACAAGTCAACCCATGTGTAACTGCTGCAGAGTGGAGATTAAATGATAAGCAAAAGCCTATTCTTGAACTTCCCAAAACCGAGTACAGTAACACAATACAGTCACATTGTGTGATTGCAGTGGGGTGGCTGACCATATGTTCACAGGGGAAAGTTATATTTAGTTAGATAGAGGGTCTTCTCAGAAATACAGGGGAACAGAAGGCTATTTATAATTTCTGCATTGCCACAGGTTTTTCTACTTTACTTACTGACTGAAGAAAGTAGATTTTATACGAATATGTAACATGTAAAGTGTGTATTTTATCAGTTTCTACACCTCAGTCACTCAGTCAAACCCATCTATTTTACCACATCATTCTTGTATTTTATTCTCTGTCCTCTTGTCACTTTCTGCAGATATTAAATCTGACATATACTACTGAGAATCTTTGAGCTACTTTACATGATCTTCAGTTTAATTAGTGTTTTCAACCTCTAGTTCTCATATAATATGTTTACATGCACATTAGTACCCTGGTTTTCCGTTCGGTTTATCACATATTCGAGTGTGGCATTTTCATAGAATATAGATAACCTTTTGTTTATATCCCTGTTTACATGGTTCAAATATTTTCCAGTATGTTGTATTTAGCTTCTTCATCTAGTTTTCTATAGTGGAAGACAGGAGCAACAATAAAATATATTCTCTTTATTACCACTGAAGACTTGTACTTTTATTTCAGGCAGAGAATAATCAGAAAGCTGGATATGATGTTTACATGTTGCAGGATCCTAGTTTCTGACATAAATTATGTAGACCAGAATAAGGGCTTATCTGTATTTCTGAAACCAGGATGTAATAGTTACATGTGCAAAACATAATCAGAATACACAAAACAATCCTGATCATTACTGGGATGCTCATTTGCACATTGACAATTTCACTTCTTACAGTTTGGCAGGTGTCTCTCGTAGTGTCACACTGGTGGTAGCTTACATCATGACGGTGACAGGGCTGGGCTGGCAGGAGGCGCTGGCTGCAGTGAAGGTGGTCCGACCCAGTGCTGGCCCAAACTTGGGCTTCCAGCGCCAGCTCCAGGAGTTTGAGGCTACTCAAGCTGATCAGGTGAGTCCCTAGGAACTGAACGAGGATAAAATACAGTACAAGAGAGTGTGGAATATATCACTGCCGTACTGAATAGACATGATTACTGATTTTTATTATTATTTAGTCTTTATTAAATAAGGACCATGCACACAAACATTAGATTTAGCTATTAGCTCATTTCCATCTGCAATCCCTGGGCAGGTACAAACAGAAAAATCACCAGACACTAAAAAAAAAACATTCATGTACTTGCAACACCATTACATAATTATACAGACAAAATACAGGCACACATCAACATATAAATACCAGCATGTTCACCTAGTACTATAAAATTACAATTCATTGCAATTAAAATTCTTTCAAGACTTTCAAATGAATGTTGAATACTGTAATAATATATACACTATCAGTATTTTGGATTTAGTAAAAAACTGTTTTCTTTTCCTGCAGTTCAGAGAATGGCTACAGATGGAATATAAGGACAACCCCTTCAATGACGAGGCTGATATACGTGACTTGCTTGTTAGGGCGTCTAAAGTCAGTGGAGAGGAGGTGAAAAAAGAGGCATCAACCCCACCTGGAGGCATCTGAACACATCTTTTGATGAGATATTTTGCAGCTCAGTCTGGATCATCACACCACCATGTGATGCTACAGTATTCTGGACCTATCTGGAGGTCTAATGTGCTTTGGAGTGGACTAAAGTCAGGATGGCAGCTGGAATGATCCTCTAAATATCATACACATGAACACTGGAGGAGACACTAATATATGCATTACATATTAAGATTTTTGCATTGATGGATGCTTCTGGTGCTGTTTTTTTTTTTTTTAATTTATGAATGTTGTGAACTTTTTTGTATTGTGTCATGATGATTTCAAATAGTGAAATAAAAGCAGTAAAGTCAAGTGTTTTTGTGAAGTTGTCAGTCGGTGGGCTGCCATATTGAAGGTGATAAGTCACATTCTGTACTGTGTTTACGTCTCTGTTTCCTGGTTGTCTTCCTGTTTGTCTAATGTGCAAGGGAGATCATGCATGGTGAAATCAAAAACACCAAGATCACGTTCTTTTATCGCTCTGTCTTCTCAACTGTCTTTAGAGGCTAAAGCATTTAAAAATACATTAATTTTATGGTGAGATATTACATAAAGCAGTCTTCTAAATACTGTAGATATCTGCACATGTGCGCGAATAGCCACTGGAGGGCAGTAACACTAAGAAAGTAACCTATATTACATAGTAGTTTGAATTGAACCGTGGTGCCTCATGCTTCATCAGGACATAACAAATAACAGAAATAACAGACATTTCTAGTCAGCAGGTGTCATGTCACTGGAAATGAGTTTACACTTACAGGCTTTTTAGAACAAAAACAGAATATGTGGGGGTAATGTGCACAGGTAATTGTTCCATTTCGTCCCGGTGTCTGCTCAGGGTGTCACTAGAGGGATTCCCCACCGCAGTGCTGTGTGGGCGCCGAGTTTCACAGAAATGAGCGCTTGACTGCTGCGCATCTCCTCTTGAACTTCTCAGAGCCCGAGACTGAGAGGCTCCTCCCCTGCCACACCAATCAAGATAACGTTTAAGAAAAGGACACCGAGAGGCTTGAAAACAGATTTAAACGGAGGAGCTCACATGATCAAAGGTAAGCGGCAGGAGCTTCTTATTTTAAATGAATGACGGCATTTTTCAACATCATACTTAGACTGCTTCTAATGTTTACTTAAAGCGCAGCACTTTCAGTCACTCCACTCCGTGACAGTGTAGAATCTCAAGATAACATTAACAACATTATTTTAGTGTAAATTGAGAAGTCTGTCATTCATCTTAGACTGTCTAGTAATTATATAACTTCTAAGAGTTTAAAATCTTTTAAATTCATATTTCAAACTAATAAAGTTTAACAAACATGTGATCAGGTGTCTTTTTGCATAGTATGTATTGTAGTTGTGTTAATGCTCTTTTATAGATACATACCTGGCGCTTTTTTTTGTCATGCATAAATCTCAAATGGGTCACGTTTCTTTGCTCTGACAGAAATGAAAACCCACTTCTTACCCCCATGCACTCTCGTTGCAAATGAGTATGGCCTAGAGTCTAGGTAAAAAAGTGATTACTGCAGATGTAGGGCTGCAGAGGAGAAGCTGTGCAGGGCACTTACTAACATTTTCTTTACTAAAAGAAATGTAATTTGAAAGTTACTGTTTTAAACTGAACTTTATTAGCTTAATAAACTAATACATTTGATCTTGTCAAACCCAATTTTTCTCATTTTCAGTTAAACGAGTCAATCTTAGTAGAAAGAGTCACATTAAACTACAACTGCATCACCTTTGTTAATGTGTTTCATTTTATTTTTATTTGCAGACATGAACCTGGATGAGGACAGTGGCCTGTCAGTCAGCTGCGGCAACGGCAAACTGAGACAGTGGCTAATCGATCAGATTGATAGCAGGAGATATCCCGGCTTGATTTGGGAAAATGATCAAAAGTCCATCTTTAGGATTCCGTGGAAGCACGCAGGAAAACAAGACTATAACAGAGAGGAGGATGCTGCACTCTTTAAGGTCAGGCCCATCCCACCTGTCTCCTCACACTACACCTGAATTCTATGACAATTGCATTTTTAAACACACTCTTGCATATGTAAAAATGTAGTAATGCGGTTACTCCAAAAAGCAGATTTTGATTCCATTCTTCAGAGCTCTAACTTTTTACAATTATTGGTACACATGCACAACTAAAGAGGAAGTGTAAATTAATCTATTCAATGATTGTTTCAGGCATGGGCATTGTTTAAGGGAAAATATAAGGAAGGAGTTGACAAGCCAGATCCCCCCACATGGAAGACCAGACTACGCTGCGCTCTTAATAAAAGCAATGACTTCGATGAGTTAGTGGACAGAAGCCAACTGGACATCTCAGAGCCCTATAAAGTCTACAGAATCATTCCTGAGGAAGCCAAAAAAGGTAAGTATGTGTACATATCATCAGAATTCTGTGTAGTTTGTGAGGATTCCATTCAGCTGAGTTGGTGTCATTTTGTATGCTGTGGCAGATGTAACAAAGTGAGGAGTAAACTAGTATCTTAGTTGAAATTTGATAACAAATTGTAAAGCCGTGCCACAGAAATGGTTAATTTGCATGTACACTGCTGCATTTCAAAAACCATCTCTTGTTTATAGACTATTGGCATTTTTTTTACATGCATATGCACCACTGCAGTTGATTCTGATGAGGCAGGAAGCACAAAGGAAGCCAAAGCATGTACCAAAAAGGCCGTAGTGCTTTTTTTAGAGGGCTTCGGTTACTAAGTGCAGTGTGCACATAACAACCAGGCGACCTCCAGCCTTGCATAACTAAGTCTCATACAATCATACAATGTTTTTGTCCCTCCAAAGCAGTTCATGCTATCTGTGCTGACGCTTAATTCTTGAAATGAGCTAGAGTTAGGTTGGCACTTGCCTCAGTAGTCTGTTACACTCACTTTGCAAAACACCCTGTCACTCAGATGAAAATAGCAGGATCTCACAAGTGCACAGAAAGTATTCATGGTTTTAACATGCCAAAATAAATTATGTTGGTTAGGTTCACATATTCTCAGTTTATTGTTAATCTGCTCAATACAAATGTGTTTTGATCCTGGATTGTTGTCAAAGACGTTTCTTTGGTGGATGGGAGCTATTATAAGCAATGTCATTGTCAAAAGCATGGCAATTACTGTGGACCAGTTAATGTATTCCTTGTTTTGTGCATTTACAGGAATGAAGATGAGCAGTGTGGAGGAGACAACATCACATGGAAATGCCCATGGCTATGTTCCTTCATATACGTCCCTGCACAATCAGGTCAGCAGATTTTGTGGCTTCTACATGCTATAGAGTGGCCCCAGCCTGTAAATGAATCTGCAAGGATTTCAAATGTCTTAGTTTAATGGCCACCCCTACGGTCCTTTCTCAGGTACCTGGCTATATGGTTTCTCAGGAGAGAAGGGACTGGAGAGATTACTCACCACCAGAACAACAACCACTTCCTCCTCCACATCACCATGGGCCACATGCAGAGATGCAGTATGGTCAGTGCCACTACCCATCACCGTTCAGCCGGGCTTGGCCTGGTTCACATGCAGAAAATGGTAAGACATGGCCATACACACATACATTTAGAGATGGTCAAGATTGTGAAACTGCAGATGTAATCACTGACTGTGTATGAAGGTGTGACTGTAATGCTCAGCAGATATACAGTATGATACAATGTATTATCTGATGTATTACATACATCTTTCAGCTGCTTTAATGAGCATGAAAATATGCCCTTTCTCAAATAATATCCAAATAATAGCACCGATTTCCAACCACAGACATCTGAGACATCCTGTCTGTCCTTTTATTAATAAGAAGTAAGGCCATCATTAAAGTTGTTACTTTAATGATGTTAAAATGTTAAGAGCACTTGCAATCACACTGATTTCTTTCATCATGTAATGCTCGGATCCATTAGGCTTTAACAGGTCAACATGTCAGTGATCTTTGACTTGCAGGTCGTTTAAAATGTTACAGTTATCAGTAAACCGTTATCACAATCCTTCACATATAGTTGACAGTCAAATTCAAGTTTGATCTTTAAGGTGGAAACCCCCCCTAACAAATACAAGTTCAAAGACTGTTTTGCCGCTAACTTTTTTAAGGTGCGAACAAGAACAAGGCTGAAGTTTTGGTGATTAATAAACCCATACAAAAGCCTGTGTTAATGAGAACAGCAATATTAAGGAGAAATTGCGTGAGAAGTATGAATTATAAGTTAGTTAAGCTCTGAACTTGAATACAAATTTACTGGCCCTTATTTCAAAACAATACCAAGCAGCAGTTGTACATTATTCCTTCCTTGTAGATTAAGATATTAATTTGATCTTCTCAGGTGCAGAACTTAAATAGTCATTATGCTTAGTACCAAACGTATAGTTGGACAACTGATGATTAATTAAACAGGATAACACAGTATACTGTACTTGTACACTTGTACAAGATTATATATATACTTTTTGTTGCGTTGCTTGTGATGCTGAAGAACTCTAACGCAAAGTCTGTTCTAGAAAACAATTAAGTTCAAAATTTTAATCAAATTAAAAGGACAAATATAATGCCCGTGAATTTAGCTGGTTGATTCAGCAGCCATGCAGTGCTGATCAGTGGTCCGTGCAGAAAAAGAGACAAATTTGTTTATGTGGATGGCCTGGTTGTTTTTGCATATGCCTGGACGATGTGTGAACATGTGAGTTCTGTGCCTGTGGTGTAATATCTTTTCACATTCAATACATTAATTATGCCCAGTATTTATTAAAAACAATTTCTGTGCAGGTTTTCAGCTCTCCTTCCACACCTACTTTTCAGAGTCCCAACCGCCCGTCTACACAGTTGACCACAACAATGCCATAACAGGTAAAGAATTATCTTGGCTTCATTGAAAGACAGATAAACAGACGTTCACTTACATGCTTGTTTATTTTAATAAACCATATTTGCATATACAGATAAGAAACTACAAACACCTACTTACTTCCCTATTCTGAACTCAGAGCAGCAGGCCATGTGCCATAGTGAGCAGTGAGGTTTTTTTATTTATCACATGATGATAGATTAAAAAGAAAGAAGGTTAAAGAGATGCCAGGAATGATACGAGAGAAGTGTGCAATACGTTGCACACCAGTATTACTGAGAATAAAGTTTTGACATTTTAGAGACTACATCTGACAAGGCTGTGAGGCTCCGACTGTGATACTGACAAAGTTTCCTACAAGGATCGATCCGCTAAATGCTCATATCTCTTTTCCAGATTTCAGCTTGCATGTGTCCCTATACTACAGAGAGTCTCTGGTAAAGGAGATTACCACCACCAGCCCAGAAGGTTGTCGGATCACCTCTTCTCCCTCCTCCTCTCCATCCTCTTCCTCTTCTTCTTCCCCATGCCCAGAGGACAAGTTTCACAGCGGGGCAGAAGTCATCCTTTTTCCATTCCCGTACCCTGAGTCTCACAGGCAGGGTGCTGAGATGCTTCCTAATGTACTGGAGAGGGGGGTGCTCCTGTGGATGATGTCTGATGGCTTATACGCTAAGCGCCTCTGCCAGGGACGAGTGTACTGGGAGGGACCTCTGGCTCCGTATACGGATAAGCCAAACAAGCTGGAGAAGGAGCAGCCATGCAAACTGTTTGACACCCAGCAATTCCTTATTGGTAAGCACTAATATGTTTCTGTAGCATTGTGTAGGTTTGGACACACTAACAGAAATGCCTGTGCAATATGATGCGGTTCAATACAATATTCCTGCACAAACATTAATGTGAACTTTATAATGTTAACCTTTTGTTCAGAGAGTGAAGGAAGACTATATATATTAGATATAAGATATTAAGCTCCTTTACTTCAGTCAAGTCCTTTTTTATTTACATATCCCAAAACCACAAATTCTCCTCGAAGGGCCTTATAATCCATAGAACATATATACACCCTCTATCCTTAGAGACATAAAAACAAGTAAAAGTCCTGTGTTTAAAATGTTACCTAACATGTTTATTAATCTACAGTGTGACCACAACTATTTGTGTATCCCACAGGAGGAGCTGAAAAATACATTAATGATCATTCATATCTGCGTACAACTACATTATACGGTGATATAAAACATTTGCTAAATAGGGGATTAAAGTAAAGTGTTACCATGTAAGCAGCTGATTGGGTAGAGCTAATTTGAACTACTTTAGTCAGTTTGGTAGTTTGATCTATAGTGATGCATCATATTTTATTAGATGATCATGTTTTGTATGTAAAATTTAGGTAACTAGCTTACTGTCTGATAAATCCAGTAGAGTAAAAAGCGCAATATTTCTTCCTAAAATGTAGCAAAGTATATTGAAAAAGGTATAGCATAATATGGACTCCATCAACAAACGTTTTTTATCCCATGGTGTATACTCCAAATACGGATTTAGCTTTCATTGCTCATTGAATTCTTTAAGCAATGATAATTCTTTAAGCAGTGCCCCATTAACCACCAGCTATTTACAGTAAGACGATGGTTGTCATCATGTTGATAATGGCTGTGATGATGTTGATTATAATAATGAAGGAGAGGCTGCAGGTGCTTTAGCTGGGTAAGTCCCTCTCAGTGTTGAGGTAGCACTAAAGCTAGTCACATTTTCAACAGGGGGCCAAAGTGTGTGGAGTCCCCACCCACCTCCTGTGGTCCACCACACAGAATGACAAGATGTGTTTTCTGTGCCATTTCACACTGAATTTCCATCATCCTCATCAGTGGTTTCCAGAATAGTCGTCACGATTAGGGAAAATGCTCTGTGAGCTATTTGGGGTTTTTTAATGTGTCTTTATCGTATAATTTAAAGCTTGGGTGTATGATAAGTAGCACAGTTAGTTTGTTGTGGGTGATGCACATTATTCTATTCTCCTTTCTTCTCTCAGAGCTTCAAGATTTTGCCCATACTGGCCGTCATTTACCGAGACACCAGGTGGTGCTATGTTTTGGAGATGAGTACCCTGACCCACAACGGCAGAGGAAAATGATCACAGCACAGGTACCAATACAATGCAAAGATTTACCTGGTAATTGAATGTCATAATTCCTCTAACAGCCATATATCAATATTGGCTAATTCATATATGGTTGTTAGGAATAGCCTAATTTTTTGAAATTATGGACCTCAATACTATCTTACTAATGCAAAATGCAGTAACTAGCAAACTTCTTAGACCTGAATCTGACTTTATTTTTGCAAACATATTATACAAAACTAATATGCAATTTCTGTGAAAAAACTGGGCATACTGTAAAACGGGGCTGAAATAAAGCCAAACAGCAGTAACCATATAAAGCCAGAGCACCAACTCACGCTTGCTGGTGAGATAGCTACAGCTAGCTTTAGCCAAATTTACTCATTTTATCTGTAATTAAAAAAGCCAATTTTAGAGAAGACTTAAGTTTTCATAACTGAATGAGGCAGTAATTAAATAAAATCAATAATGAGGAGAGAAAACACAGCTTAGTGACTCAGTGACTAGTTGAATTCATGCATACAGAGTGGTTAAGCTGAATTTTAATGTATTAACATGTGAATTAACCTATTATATTGAATTCAGTGAAAATATTATAATAGTAGTTGAGTCCAACAAACAGACACAAAATCTATTTAAAGAAACTGGTTAAAATTGTCAAGAAAGCTAGAAGAAAAGCAGTATATGCATTAGGTACTGATCTCTTCCTTTGTAGGTCGCAATAGCGTAACACGATTCAGCAGTCACCCACATATTTCATACAGAGACCTAATTTCATTTTAGGTGGAGCCAGTGTTTGCCAGAAAACTGGTGTACTATTACCAGCACAACAATGGCCACTACCTGCGGGCTTATGATCACATCCAGGAACAGAACACATCTCCATCAATCGACTACCCTTCCCAGAGACCTCTACAGCATATTCAAGAGTGACAAGCATGCACACACACACACACACACACACACACACACACACACACACACACACACACACACACGCACACACGTACATTGTACAGGAGGGCATGAATGTAAATGTGAATGTAAAGCACTGCCCATTTATCACGTCTTGTGACTGCAGTGCTGTGTACTGTAAATGGTAGGAGATGTCATGGTACTGAGGGGTAGATTTGGGGAAGACCCTGTTGTTTTCACTTGCACACCTTTGCATCGTAGTCTTTGTGTGACTGTGGAGTAATGTTTTTTTTTTCTCTACAAGTATTATTGTGACAGTGTGAAGGATGCGGTTTGAGGGTGGGGGTATGAGGGGAGCGGAGGGCGACTGAGACAGGAAGTACTAGCACAGGTGCACAGGAAGAATGGCCCCTAAGACAAACACTGCTATGTCAAAGGGACAAAACAGTATGAATGAATACTTCTTGTATTATTATTTATTGTATTGTATATAAGCCTTAACATTTGCTTAGATGAGCAAGTGAACAGTCAAGTATCATTGCTTTGTCCATTGCAGACCTCAACTCTGGGTTTCATTGCAAAAAAAAAAAAAAGAACTGATGTTATCACTGGTCTGGTGGTGTAGTAGAGGAAGCTGTTATCACAAATTGTTTACCTCTGGGCTGCTACATGTATTGCACTTCCAAAAATCTCTTTCTACTGAATCTGGTCAGCTTTTTAAAAAAACATCTGATTCCTTTTAATTATGTCAAACTGATCAAACAAAAATCACAAAGCCGTTTTTTGAGATGGTAATCAAGATTCAACTACTTTCCCTGCAGTAGATGGAGACCAAAGCCCGTACGTCCACCTTATATACATGCCAGTAATATCAAGCCATTCAGTGTTTGTTTACATATATATCTAATGTTGGTTAGCATTAGATTGTTACAAGTGCAGAAGCTTTTCAAACATTTATTAGTTTGAAACAAAAGAAAAAGGCAAAGCAGAGAACTGCCTCATGCTGAATTGAAAGGTGCTGGTTAAATAAAGCTGGTTCCCAACCTGATGCTCGGGACCCCCACAAGGGTTCATAAGGTAGTCTAAGAATTCACCAGATAATTACAGAGACAGCTAATTATTATTATTTTATTTTATGTATAAAATCATAATTGAGTGCTTTTCAGCTTTTTGTCTTTGTCTAGTATATGTATAGTTTTCTTCTTGAGGTCTCTAAAAATTATTCAAATGAAATAATCTGATTTGAAAACCCATTTTCGGTTGAACTGCTCACAAGGTCCACTGGCCTACAACACATGATCAGAGAGCAGCTCACTAGAAAAGAGTGGGCTTGGTGGGCGGTCTTAACCTCACTGGACTGAAGGAAGTTAACTGGAAAAATCACACTCATCCCGTAACTTGCAAGGAAACCATACCTGTTCCTCTTGACCTGAAACTAGCGGCCTCACAAATGAGAAGAAAAACTACCTTTTGTGGTCTGAATGTACGTTGAGCCAGGGAGGAGCTCTCTGGTTCCCATGCCTGAGATTCTGTAGAGGTAGGGATGTAACATCCACACAAAAGCTATCTAAAGATTCTAACAACCTACTTAGGAATGTGTATACATCATAAGAATCCAGCAGTGACAATAATTTAATTCCTCATGTTATTGGGGTCCTGATGCTGCAGTTGAATGGATAAAAGTTTTGTTATGTTTTTCTTCTGTGGTCCAGAGTTTCGATCTCTGCGTTTACTTCCTTCACACTTAAACCACATCACTTTCACAATGGCTTCAAATGTCTGACCAAAATCACAGGCAGGAATGTTTTTCTTTTTTTAGTGTGTGTGTGTGTGTGTGTGTGTGTGTGTGTGTAAACCATAAATCCTTTTTCCCCTCAAAGTCAGTCAGTTCCCCTGATTCTGTGCTGGGTTCACATAATGATTCACATTACTTCACAGTCAGACACTTGACTCATTCAAAGTAATATTCTATAGTGAAAATGTTACCAACTCCATGTACAGTTCACTGTTGTGGTAAATTTTGTGTGCGTGTGTGTGTGTAGTAAAGGGCCACATGTGTGCGTGTGTGGGTGAGTACATGAGTGTCACACAGTTGCACTATTACTGTTATCAGGAATTGACATTTATGGACTCAGGATAAAACATGTGACTCCCCCACCTACAACATCAGTGACTCAAACATAGACACACACCCTATTCACATCACACTTTACAGTTACAGTAAAACATGCAGAACAAACTACAGAGGAAATCAGAGTGTGCATATTTAAAAAAAACTGTCCTAACATTTTGTACAATATATTTTTGGAGAATGACAAAGACTTGGAGTAATAAGGAGATTGATTAATATAAACTGTAAAACTGCCATATTGATAAATGATGTATTGTGAAATAAAGTCATCAATCTTCTACTATTCATGTCTGCTGTGCTGTTTCATCTTTGAGCTCTTTTTGATTTACAAACAAAGAAACGGAGGATGAGAGAGTCATATTTGGTTTGAAAAAGAACCCCCCCCCCCAAAAAAAAAGAAAGGAAAAAGAAAAGCACATTAACACTTGCCATGGTGTTTCCCCCTCTGCAGGAAGCCACATCATTTGTAGTCAGGCTTCAGTTTTTCCGCCTGTATGAGCCGTTACTCCAAGTGACTGCGCCTTAGCCCTTCAGTCGAAGCTCTGGAACAGACAGTTTAGTCAGGTACTGCACCAAATATCACCAATAACGCTTTTTTTTTGCAGAGAAAGGAAACTAACACCAGCATATCAAATCCACACTATCCCGTCTATGATTAATCTGACTGGGCAAATGGTGATTCATTATCCAGTGTGTCAGTCTTTATGCTTAATCTTTCCACTTGAAAAGGAGCAACAAATTGTGTCACAAAAAATGGTTTAGCATTGTTATCTCTATCTGATCCTGTTGTTGCTACTTTCACACGTGGATCTTTTTTGGGGGTTTCACTGCAATTACATTGGCATTAACACTGATCACACTGTCAAAATTTTAATTTAAGACTTCAGCATATATATATATATGTACTTTTGTGCTGAGATTCTGTGACTCTTGTTTTATAATGATTTGGTCAATTAGATTTTGAGATTTCCAAATACAGTATGTATTGAAAGCAATGTTCATTTGTTCATCTATTTATATATACTATACATGTATACTATCAACACTCTGAAGAAGGAACCAAATGAGGGTGTTTCACAACAAAACCCAATTTAATGTTTTGCTGACATCTGCTGGTTAGTGTATAGCTGCAGCTAAACAAAAAGCTCTGAATAAATCTGAGAGGTAGCAAGTTGATCTACCAGTTAGGAAAGAAGACTAAATTGAGCAGATTTATGCTGCAGAAAATGTTTATACACATTTATCTGTGCTTTCTTCTGGTAAAATATGGAGAAAGTAAAAATCCCTCTTTGCTTGAAGCGCTTCAGAATTCAAAGAATATGTAACCTTTGATGAGTAGTTGTGATTTGACTCTGTATTGTTATAAATGATCCCAAAACAAAAATCTAACCACTGGCATAGAGTGCAGAGGGCAGTACCCACCCCACAGTTATGGTTGTCAGGCTTAATGTGAAAGTCTACTCTAAATCCAAGCTCCAGGTAATGAAATACTGCTGAATGTTGTGATACATCATTCTAGGTGTTGTCATGAAGGTTTTATTATTCAGAAAAATCCAAAGTATCAAGAATAATCTTTATCCACAACTCACCGTGCAAATTCTGAATCCACATACCTGTGGTAATTTGACACTAGACTCAGAGTCTGTGACCCCTCTATGTTTGAGGTCAGGCTCCTGCCCATGATTTGATGACAGTCCTGTTTAACCCTAGCTGATTTTAGCTAATCCTGCTTGTTGACCCTGTGGTAAGCAAGGTGTTGAACTCATTCTCCTGTTTTACAAATTTTGACCCCCAAGATGTCTCTGCAAATCCACCAATCATCACTCATACGGCCCACTGCTGATGCTGTGTTCTTATTGGGAGCAAACACGGAGATAAATGGTTGACAGATTCATCAGATCATTTCAAGACTTTTGTAATAAAAACGTATGTAGGTGTGTTAACTCTATATCATCCTCTCATAATTATAATATAACTCGTCATCATATTATTATCATTATAATAACCTACTATTATTCATTCTCTGGACATGACCTACACAAGGCATGAGAATTCCTTTCCATCACCAGTAAATAAAATCTTTATCGGCACAATTAATCAGCTTGAATTGTTTTCAGATGTCTGTGTTTATCTGAGACCCTTCAGATAACAATGTACTTGACCCAATACATTATGATGGCAGGAAAGCAATAACAGTTGTCGGATAAGGAGCAGCAAAGTAATTGAAAACAATCAGATGACCTGGGACACGAGTGTAAACAGATAAGGGTTGATAAGCAGAACAATATGGTGGTCTACCTGGCACTGATGCAAGGGGGTGGGCTGCCTGTTTAGTTTGGCTGGCAACTTGCAGACGCTTTGGAGATGAAGGATGTTATAAAACATCATTAGACAAAGTAGGAAATGATGCATTTTCGCCATAATCTAGATTTCCTTCAGACACACAACAAACAGACGATTTTCAAGCTACAAAGTAAATAGTTACCAACCAACACAGAAAAATCGAGTATGGACATATGTGTAATAAAATAAATGACCAGCAGGGAGTGATGTAACATTGGTTGGTTGCTGTGCTTGAAGAGATGCAGAAAGAGGAAATATGAATTCCCATCATGTTCACACATCTGTAGTAATCAGCGCGTTCACAAACGCTTTGATCACTCCTAATGGCCCAGAGACGTTACTCCCTGTAACACCCCTGCCTTAACATACACATCCACATCCACATCCACACGCACGCACACACACACACACACACACACACACACACACACACACACACACACACACACACACACACACACACACACACACACACAATTTTGCCATGTATTTCTTCAATTAATTTGGTTTCATTAACATTACTAATGTGTGCTCTCTGGAATTTCATGAAATTTCCCATCAAAGGAAAAAGTTTGGGATTCCACTTCTTCTTACCTTTTCTGTCTTTCTTAACACTGATACTTTGTTTTGTGCGTCAAGTGACATGCAGAACCAGTGCTGACAGAGAGACGGAGGTGGTCAGAGTGACAGCTCGTGGGCTGTGTTGCGTGAGAGTGTCTCGGGCTGTTCTCAGACTCTGTGTGGTCTGGGTGTGTGGTCTCCAGCTGACGGGCAGGGAGGGGGACGGGAGAGCCCTGTGTGTGTGTGTGTATATATGTGCATGCGTACATTTGTGTGTGCACTCATGTGTTTACTTTATCCAGAGTGAGGTCCAGGCTCTCTGTAGCCATGGCCTGACTAGAAAGCTCTGCCTTCCGCCACTCAACAGCCCCGGTCTGAAAGGTAAACACACACTGCCACCACTCTGACATGGCTCATCTAAGGATGATTTTTATCCATGTGTACTTACGGGACCTGAGAGACCTTTAAGTTAAAAGGTCTTAGGGTTAGAATTTCTGAAACTATAGCCTTGTATAGAATAATTTTCCTCACAGTATTGGATTACACAATTCCTTAATCTTACCTACAGAGTGTATTCATGGACGTTTTACACTGAACGCAGTTTCATAGTTTGGTTTGCATCTGTGTATTTTACTTTTTTATATTCATTATTTGTCACCTTGAATTTATCCTTTATATTTCTAATCCTTAATCTTTTAGCACAGCTGTAAGAGCATGCCACATTGCATTTCATTATACATATTACTTGCATATGTGACATATAAACCTTTGAATTTTTAAGTCCTAGTTTATGACCATATTATTTCTTTTCATCTCTTCCTTTACAAGTAAGACATGCATACATGTTGGTTCACTGACTCAACACTATGAAGAGTGTAATTAATTATGTATAATTCTTATGGGATTTCTGATGTAGCGAAAGGTGACGGCTCAGTTTGACATTGAGTTTATTATTTTTATTGCATCTGAAATATTTGTCCCACGTTAGAGGAATCTGGCTTTTATGTTTTGGTTGTTTATCCTTTCCTTTTTTCTTGTTTGTGTATTATGTGTTTGTGGTTTATGACAATCAAATCAAATTAAATAAAATTTGCCATTCTTGTTTTATTTTATTACAGGTATCTGTATTGTCTTATTCCTTTTGCTTTAGATCATTTAGAGATAATTTACCTTAAGATCATTAAATGTACATACACATGGAAGGAAATTAGACCTCATACAACCTCCATCTCTCTTCCCTCTTACACACACACACACACACACACACACACACACGTTCAACCATTGGGCTGCAATACACTGCTCTCCCTCTCCCACAGCGATCTCAGGGGAAGGCTATGTAATGCAGCACTGCTGAGAACGCGCCATGAAAATATAAATACAACCTCGCCGCATTTCAACCATGTAAATAAACAGGGCCACCCAAATTTCCAATTAGAGCTGGTGTGGAAGGCAGGAAATGGAGTAGACAAGAAGAGACCACACCCCCTTCTCTACTGCTCCACTCCTGCAAAGAGTCCAGGTCCAGGTCCAGGTCATGGACATGCAGTGGCATTGGAGAGGGTAATACAGCATTTAGCAACCCACTTAAGGCTTCTTGCATGTCTCCATCCAGCTCCTCCTCTCATTACCTACCTAGCTTCCACAAAATTCACATATGGCCATGGAACGAATGCTTGGGATTTGATACTTATACCTACGAAATCACTATAATCTTGGTAATACATACGATTTTTTCAGTTCACATGCCTCCACCTTGCAAACATTTCATTTACTTCCATTTGAGAAACCCAGCCTTATACCAGCTTGCCTTATCAGTCCCATTGAGGTTATCAGGCAGTTCCTATCTGGCTGAAATGAAGCATTCTCACTGTATTCTGCGTCTTCTTGGAACAGCTAGGCACCGTTATTTTGCAGCTAAGCCCAGAGACCACCCAAGAGCTGGGGTCCAGTTGTGCGAAGCAGAGGCAGGATCCTTGTTGTGATAAGAAAGACAAGCCTTCTCTAAAGAGAGATGGTGCTTTGATAGTGTAGCAAGATTTTCCTGATAGCTGCCGGATCAAAGTCTGATAGACTTGCCTGGCACTCACTGGGTCGAGCTCATGTGCCTGTTGGTCAATCACTGCTTCAGCTGTGGTCAGTCGGCAAACATCATGGGGCCTATTAGTTAACATAAACATACAAATGAGTGTAATTGCCCCAGAGAGTCAAAGAGCTGTGTCATGAAAGTCACTTTCACTCCAGATAGGGCTATGAAGGATATTACCGCATTTCCTAATGACTATAATTCACCCAGAAAAAGGCAGAGCTCATTTAGATAAAGTCTGATGGATGAATCTGAGGTAGTGATTTTCCACACTTTGACAACTCTGACGTTGT